ACTACATACACACATTGTCCCGTCACGTTGTGACCATCTTATATATACCAGTCTACCCCCAATCTAGTAATTTCCCGACAATTCACGAAGGTTCGAGAAGGAAGTGGCGTGATACTAGTCACGTGACCTCGCTGACGCAACAATATATTATGTTGTAAGTTTAAAAACAACATTTTTAAAACTTTCTTTCTCTATCAAAATTTATGCGTGCTGCCAAGGGGTTGCGACAATAAATTTCATCTTAGCGGCGTTGCGAGCGATGATACCTAGAGCCGTAAATAAATAGTGTTTGACCAACTAAACAATAAGTGCCATGTTGTTACCCATTGTGAGCAGGATCTCAAGAGTATGTGTAAACCATATATGTATGGTATAAGCTATCTGCATGAAATGGCTTTGTTTGCCTTAGACATCAGTTCATTTCTGAAACGGTCTCATATCCTTTCTCCCAAACCTATCTCGATCTTGGACTGCCCTCTTAGCATTGCTAAACGTTTTCCCTTTCTTTTTTTTTTGTTTGCCAAAATGTTTTTCCCTAACAGCGCAACAGTCTTTTATATCTCATCAGTTTCGCGCCATTTCGGAACATATGTTGATCACGTGACTACCTTCCACCAATCATACTGCGCCATCTGTTCTAGCGCAGTTAGCTCCCTCTACTATTCTAGAACAATCCTCACTATCGAGAATTGGCAGGTACAAACCAGAAACACCGGAATATCTGTGAGAAGGAAAATTGAGAAGAGGAAAGTACCTATTGGAAATACATTTTCAGTGTAAGAAAATGTTAACTTCCGAAACAGTACAACCTTCACTCACTAGACTCCCATATTGGAAAGGTGGAGGAGACCAGTGAAGGTGTATCAATATCCAATCAAGCAGAAAGTTACCACACAGAAAGAACGGGTGCACAAGAATATGTAAAGGAAAGCACACCTGTGGGATATAGCACTACTTCTGGAACATGTATGCTCTTTGTCCAGTAATTAGCACCAATGTATTCAGAAAAGCTATATACAGCACCAAATCAGTGGAAAAATACAGTATAACCATGACTTGAAACAGCCAGGCATTGACAAATAAACATGGATTAGAGTATGCCAAGTGTGGTCCACCCAGGCAAAACATCCAGTGAAAATGTCTTGTATAAGATATTGTGATCAACTAGTGCAGTCCTCCAAGGCAAAAACATCCAGGGGAAGCGGCCCCTTGGATACATGATTGTGAGGGTTATCATAAACAGCTTGTTGTGTCTATACTTTGTCCACATATGTAGCACCGAACATAGTGATAGTGAGCTATAGTAAGATGGCAGAGAAAATTACATAAATATGGCTTAATGACCATGAATTGTATATGAATAGCCCAAATGCAGTTTTCCTGGGCAAAAAAAAAAAAAACATTCATGGAAAGTGTCTTGGGTTATGTTGGATTATGCCAAGTGTGGTCCATCCAGGCAAAAAAAAATATCGGTCGGCATTCTAGTGTGTAGACCTGTGTTTTACCTCACTTTCCATGTGACTACAAAATTTTGATTGTGCTTGATCACAAATTTATACCAGTTTCGACTTGTTGTGTTTGATTTCCATTGTTTCTACTCGTTTGTTTCAGAAATATTTCTGAATTTTAAGTTGTTCATATGAATCCGAGATTTAATATGGCGGATAATGAAATTCCCGTGACAATGGTTCTGACACGAATCCCCAACCTCAGGGTTGACGATGTCTACTGGAGAAGTATAGACTTTAGTTCATGAGGAGTTCATGTCTTACGTTCAATTTCCTCTTTTCAAGTTACGATTTTTTTAGAGGAAGGATATAACTACTGAGTGGAAATTCCTTTCTACTGCTCTTTCCACCTTATACCGTACCTCCATGTAATCTCTTGGGTTAAATAGTTTTCTTTTTCTGTGGTAAATATTTCAACTTGTATTCCTCACTTCCAGTAGGTATGTTCATGTTTAGCAAGTTTATGTGAGCTTGTGGGGACTGACCTCATTTCCGGACGCAATAATTTAGGTCTTTCATGTCTTCTCTGCTCAGTATTTGGTGAGTTAGATGTTTTCTAATTGTTTTACTACCTAAGTTACTTTTGTTTAAACTTGTGTTTGTTGTTTGTTTGTAATTAAGCACAAAGCTACACAATGGGCTACCTGTGCTCTGCCCATCACGGGTATCGAAACCCGGTTTCTAGCGTTGTGAGTTCGCAAATTTGTGTTTAGAGTTTGATTATTACGTTGTTTTTAATTAATTTGCGGTATATGTACCGGTTTGCATGATAGTTACTGTTTGGGTAATTGTAACTTTGACCGATTTCATGGGTGTGTTGGTTCGTTATTTATACTTCCTTTCACTTATTATGTTAGTTTGTTTGTAAGTTCCTTTTTCTTTACTGCATTGGGGATTAGATTTGAGTCAAATTTTGTTATTATTAAGTGGGTGCATTTTCATTCTCATTTTCCTCAGGGGAGGTTTTATATTCGTGTTTTTTATTTTGTTGATTTTTTGAGTGGACTTATAAGTTCAATATTTAGGTGTATTTTACCTTCTAACTTCCTTTAGTGATTTTGTATTCTAGCTGTTGCTTATTATTTTATGTTTTAGGTCGAATTTCATAGTTTTGCAAGTTCATTATATTTATGTACTTTAAATACTCTATAAATTTGCAGATTTTTTTTTAGTTTGTTAGTAATGAGTAATTTCTCTAAGTATGTTTAATTTATGTGCCATTTTAGCTATACTTCCCGACAGTTGCGTGGGTTATATGAGTTTTGTCTGAAGGTTTCTTCTGCCTTCAGTTCTGCTTCCCCCTATCCACTTTCCAGGTCTCCTTCCCCTCCTCCTGAGGACCATACTTCAAAAAAGTCATTTTGCCTCGTCTGTTCAAGACATACTACACAAATGGGTTGTAAAATGAGTGGTACCCACTTAATCAGGACCTTAATCTATTTGCTGGACTCGAAAAACGGGAGACCCATCATAGACCTGTCCCAGTTTATCTCTTATATGGAGTCACCTCGCTTCTCCATGGAGTTCTTTCACTTTGGTGTTTTTCTTTCTCGGGACTCTGGATGATCAAATCATCATGATGGATGCCTATCTTTATGTTCCAACTGCTCCAGTGTCATGTCGTTTCTTGGGGCACAGCTGTTTGATCCTTCTTCAGCTCT